TCCCAGCAGTAACACGAACGTACTCCTTTCCTCCCAAAGACACCAAGAACAATGGCAGAACAGTTTCTGGTATTACATTGCTTTGGCGATTACAGATCCCTTGCAAGAAAAGTCTATTTGCTCCAAAAAAGTTTATTTATACATCTCTATATTTTAAGTAAAATATCTGTTTTTACCAAAATAGGATATACAGGCACATGGCTGTAAAATAACTTTAAACCAATTCACTATAAAATTACTTTTGGTAATAAATAATCTGATTCTCAGAGAGGCAAAATGCTCCCTTTACCTCTGCAGATGGACTGTCCGAGGCACAGTTCCTCTGCAGTTCGAGAACTCTCCCTCCCTCTCCCACCTGCCTTCCCCTTGTCCTTCGCACTGAGCCTTGGCCAGGGCAGAAGCAACTTGTGCTCTTTAGCCTGCATGAAGCAGAATCCTGCTCCTAATAAGTCACTTAAAACTGAGAAGTGATAATAAAACACGTGCCGAAAGAAATCCGCAAAGTCAATGGGGCAGATACTCACAATAGGCTTTTATTCTTGAAGGAACAGCTGCTGCTACTAGATGTGGTACGGTCTGCACTGCTCAGGGGGCTCCTCTGGGCCAGCAAGTTTCAGTGAGGTCTGATCTCAATGGGAGTGAAACCAGGACCTTAAAGGGCAAAACATCTATGCGTGCATCTGGGCAGCTGGCACATTAGTAAGTCAATAGGAGAGACACTCCTGAATTCCCCCGAAAGATCTGTCAAATTCAGAAATACTGAACTAAATCTCCTCTGTCTTGGCAGAGTAATGCTTTGGAAGGAAAAAAAAAGAAAGGTAGCTTACTTTCACTCCTAAATACAAAGCAGATAAATGTGTCCAATGTGTTCCTCCCCTACTCTATTTGTGGTCATCTCGCTCTTCAAAGCACTTGCAATCATTTGGTCACAGAAACAGTATTGCTCTAGAAGTCAAAGGTATTAAAAATGTAAGAGAGCCACCTCAGAAATGTATAATCTCTCTGCTCTGGATTTTTGCTGCTGTCCTCTGCGCCAGTATCCCTCACACAGAGGCTGACTGCAGTTAGTCTAATGTTACCAAGTTGCACAGACCAGCTTTCAGCTCTGTGTATTAGATTTTTCCCTTGTTTGTAAGATTACTCTTGCTGTTACTGCCTGCGGAGCTTCCTCAGTCCCAGGAGCAGCAGCAGCCACCACAGATCAGCTACGGACACTAAGCAGCCACTTAATGTGAAACGGGCTGGACTAAACAAGGGCTCTGCCACTGCTATCATTGGTGACCTGTAGTCAGAACAGTTGCTGAAGAATCTAACACAGATAAAGCTTTTACAAAAGAAGCCTCAAGACAAAAAAGTTGTTCAGACAGATTCCAAGCTTTTTAGCTTTCAGGAAAAAGCAGACTCAAAGCACAGCATGGAGTTACAGCAGAAGGAAGGTGGCAGGGCAGGGGAGGAGCTTCACAACAGCATGCCGGGGATGACTCTTGGAGCAGCACTTTCATCCCGTCCTTAGAGGAGAAGCCTGACCAGAGCTACTGAAGTTGTAGCTTTTAAAGATGATTTTTTGAGGCCTAATTTCCAGACACACACACCCCCCCAATTTCCTTGAAAGATCCTTAAAAGACATCTCTGCACATCTCCCTGAGGAATAGTCTTGAGGGGTTTAGTAAGGTTTAGTAAATCATGACTTGACGATATTATTTTGATGAACCACCCAAACAAACCATCCTGAAACTTCTCAGGAAAGCACTCCAGGGAGCAAGTCCAGTTTGCCCCGCTCACAGAAGTTAGTGCTCTATTTAGTTTGTGCATGAAGCTAAATGACGCATCACATCCTAAGAGTGATTAAAAAACAGAGCATTAAAGATTCATAACCTTGTATTCCCCTCTCACTGTTATTTTGAGAAGTCAAAGGGGAAAAAACAAGGCAACAGCAGTAACTTTGGCTAGATGTTCTAAAGCCAGTTTAAACAGGAGTACAAATAGAGGTGCCTCGTGTGGGAGCAGGACTTATTTGGGCATACCACATGCAGTAAGCAGGAGGTAGGCAATAGTAGTCCAATAACAACGTACTCAGTCCAGGTCACATTATCCTCTCCCCTTTAATTCCGTATTGCCTGGTGGTGGCAAGTCTTCTCCGCTAACATAAGCGGTAAAGATATACGGAGAAAGGGAGAGCAAGACAAGAGGGAAGGCATTGGGCCTTGAGAAGGAAAGGATTTGTTCTCTTCTCACTTAAAAATGGTTCAGTCTTTGCTTCGCTTCCACAGTGAGGACTGCTAGATACATAAACCAAATTTTTCTTCAGTACAGACAAGCATACATCGAAAAGGTACCTACAACCATAGCACACAGCACACAGTAGCACAAGTTTAGAATGACTTAGTTCAAACAAGACAAGCTTTTACTTGGAGAGGAAAATATCAGTATTTTCATCTTGAATGTAGTTCTTTGGGTGGGAAGGGAGGGGGCTGGCTCAAAATCCAAGACCAGATACTTGTCCTATCTACAGCTGGAGCAGACTAGGTATCAGCCTTTCGCTTACAAAGTACAATTCTGTACTCCTACTGACACAACAGGAGTGAAATCTTTATCTTTGAATATCTCTACCAGGAGCGTATCTTCTGAACCAAAGATCAGTAGGTAAGAAGAGAATGAAGGACCTCAAGAATGAAATTTTGACTTGGACAGTCATTGCTGATAAGTTCAACTTCTGAACTAATTTTTCAAGGCCTTATATTCTCCTCCTACATTCTAGCTTCTTCAGGTTTTTTGTTTTGTTTTTAAAAAAGTGCATTCTCCTCTGATTAGATCTACCTTGGTAACAAGCAAACAGAACCTCTTCTTAGGGCTGCAAAGTGGATTAGAAGTGTCTCAGATAACAAGCAAGGACTCCTTGCTTCAGCCCAGTTAAAACAAAGACTGGGACCGCCAAGGCTTTCCCAGTCAGTTAACAAGCAACGTCCCACAGATGTTCACCAGCCCACACTAATGGCATCGTCATCATTCCTATGCTTAGAAATAACACTATTTTCCAGATACACGGAACCAAAATGAGAATAGCTTCATCAAAGCAAAAGCTAAAGCAAAACAAAAGCATTTGGCTGGAAGGCAGTGAGCTGGGGAAAACTAAATTCCCCTTTTCCATGCAAGCTGAACACTGCTGGTGGAAGAACAGCAGGTAGGGTAACAGATAACCCGTCTCTCACTTGCTGCTGCATTAAAGGCTTTCAGTATCTTTAGCTTCTACATACAATCCCATGTTTTAATAACTGGGGACCTCCTACCAGAAAGAAAGGCAGATCATCAGCTTCACAGTTAAGAATACATGAATCTTATCACTGTAATACATAGAGGAGTACTCATTCCCCTGGCTAACTAAGGCCTCCTGTACCTGAAATCAGTTATGAATTACTTCAAGATCCAAGTGTAAGTCCCTGGAAACAGTGAATTACAATGGCAGAAGAGCCATAACCATTACTACAACTACGAATGATCTGCAACACCTTGTGGAATGCACCCAAAATGGCGTATGTGTGTATATATAAATTTTGTATATAGACGTTGTACTGTTTCATTCTGTTTAATACATATACAAGTACCTATACATATATACATATTTACAATTTACACCAGCCAGTAGATGTATGCATATTGTACATATACACACAAACGCCTAGAATACACATGCACACACACAAACACACACTCTTTAAAATAAACTCCACATCCCAGGTAACGAAGTCCTGCCATAGTCCAAAGAAGAGCAGCACCAAATGGTGGGGGGCTCAATATACCAGCTTCAAGATTGCTTAGAACAAACACTACCATTCACAGAATTTTTTACACTTGGTAAATTAAAGAACGGATGGCATAAGCTTCAGCCCAGCTACAAAGAACCTTCATGCAAACTTCCCAGCTACACTCCAGCAATTCTTGCTGTTCCATACCATGCTGTCCTCAGCTGAATGGGATCCATCAGTGCTGATCTGCTGCCTTTCACTATTCCGGCTGACTAGATCATACCTTGTATGACAGCACTGCAAACAGGCCTACCATGATACTATGGTAGTCAGCAAGTTCTGCATTTTTTTCACCTAAAAATAGAGACATGGCTGAGGTTCAACATAAAAGCACTGATCAGACTTGTCCTTTCATTACTTTTCTAGCAGCCCATGGAACAGTGAAAACAGATTTTTTCATTTAATAGTTTAAAATATTCTCGGTTCCTTCTCCTTGCTCACACCTTCACTGTCAGGAATTGCAAGAGATCCTCTAGCTCGGCAAGGAAGGCAGTACAGTCCAAATGAGTCAGCAAGCACTTTTCCCAGGAGTCAGAATAGCCTTCTCCAGCAAGTGCCTTTACAAACGCCACTGTACTCCTCAACGTACCCAGACCGAGCATTATGGGCTGAGGGAGCCTATAGTGCTGCCAAACATAATTGCAGCCCCTCAGTTTTACTGGTTCAAAGATAGGACTGAGATGCAATGGTGGGCATGCAAAACATTAACAGGGCTTTATGGCAGCACCCGCTTTGTTTAACCTGCAAGAGGAGCACCAGCACCTCTCCAAGGGCATAGGGATCCAGCACAGATGGGTCAGATAAATGAGTGATAGGAAGTGCTCGTATTCAGCACTATATGGGATATTCTTTCAGCTCCTATCAGGGACTGGTAACGTTGTGGGAGCCACGCATTCCATCCACACACGGAAAGGAGGGATAACACCTGCTGCAAGTGTAAGAACTTCTGTCTAGTACCTCAAAATGAAGAACGCCCTCTCCTCCTGGAAAATTGTGGCAGCAATACAAATGGCAAGATGACCCATATTACAGTGAGAGATGGGGGCTAGCTTTCTTAGTTTTGTAATTTGCTAATCTGCTAACCATCTAGCCAATCAGGCAGAGTGGAAATTGTGTCCTTAGCCAGCAGTACAAAGTTAATACACAAAATTGCTGTGTCAAATTTTAGGGAGCGTTAAGTGTCTTTACAACTTCACTTCAAACCCACTGCTCCAAATGCAACGTAATTGTCCACAGTTTTGTTTACTTACTTGCCTAAGACTGAAAAAATATATTTGTTATGAAGGACTCTGTTTTATTGCTATTGTTGGTTTGCACTGTGTGGTTCCACCTTAATCATTTCAAATCCAGACTCTTTGGGGATAAAATATTGGTTTTCTATTGATTTTTTCCAATTTCTTAAAATTGTATAAAAATAAAGGATTTCCACAAATGTGGGCTAAAGGTAACCAATAATACTTCTATGCTTAGGATCAGCTGTTGGAAATGTGGCTGATAGCCACAAGACCAGAAATAAACCTCTAGTGATTCTTTAGTTTAAGATTTAAAAGACATGAAAATTTCTCCTTATAAAATTGACCCCATACAGAATGGAACAGCTAAACTAACAGCTGTTTATTATTACTTTTTAAAATAATGGTCCTAAATTTAAAAATAAAAATCAAGTACTTCCTTTTATGATTTTCACATTATAAAACTGCACCATTCAAAATCTGTGGCCAGGGAAACCCCTTTGCAGTAAGACAGTTTCTCTTAATAGTCATCGAGGGTGTTTTCCAGGAAAACATTCCTAACATCCAGTATGGAAGCCAGCTCCAAAATGTGCTTTTGGAGGTGAGGGTTCTCCACCGTTTCATCTCTCGGCAGCTGAGGATAAGATTCTGGATAATTTCGAGTCTCCTGCTAGATGACAGTGAAAACAAAAAGAATCAGACATTCATTTATTTTTACACCCTTTATGAAGAAGATTGCAAAAGGCCAATTTCACTTAAGAGCCTAGGTAGCTAACTTAGGCTTGGAAAGCTACTCGATGTCTGCAGTTAGACAAGATGAATATTGTACATTTCTGTGCGTCGACTTCCATTTTTTTCTGTAATATTTAAAATGGAGCAGGCAGTTTATATGCCAACACTCACATATATAAAATGGTGTAGATCCAGAAGCAGACTTCACTGTTGGCATAGCATTAACCAACAGGGAGGGAAAATACCATCTTCCTGTTTAGTTTATTCATTTACACTTAAAAGACCTTTCAAAATCCATTCACGCTAGAATACATTCTAGCAGTAACATTCTGCTCCTGCCCACTTCCTCTTACATTCTTGTTCTATACCTTTTTAGTTGTGTAGAAATAATAATCTTGAATTATTAAGAGGAATTTTTCTAGCAGATAAGGCTGTTCAGCATGACATAAATGAATTAGAGCGTGTCTGCTACTTAATGTAGAGGAATAAGGCTTCAGCAAGTCAAAGGCTTCATGCCTTTGGAGAGAAACAAAGGCACAGATTCAATACAAGCTGTAGGCATTAGCATGTGAGCATCAGTTATTTTTCTGAAGTCACAGTGATATGCTTAGCCCTAAGACCCTTCCATCCTGAGGCAATGCAGTTCTATATGCACTGGGCTGTCGTTCTCACAAAGGGATAGATATCCCTGCATACCCGGAAAATTTTGTGCATCCTCATAGTAGCCGAACAGAAGATAAATCTTGTTAGAAGCAAGCGAAGAAATTCATCCCCAAAAAACTGAAGAAAGGACTGATCTGCAGAGAAGGCAAAGAAAACTCAGGTTAGAAAGGCTTAAAAAAATTGGGGGGGGGG